CCAGCCTATCCCCATTTAAAGAGATGTGCACATCCCATCTTTAGAGGGTTATTTCTGTACATAGGTTGGATGGATGCAGAGCACACGGTCTACTCCATCAGCGACCATGCGTGAGAACTCACCAGTTCCTTCAGGGACTCTGGGTTCCGAATCTCTTTCTGTCCCTTCAGCCACTCGATGTAGTCGGCCTCCTCCTGGGCCTGGGGGAAAGCGAGCACTGAGCATCTGCAGATGCCCAACCACCCGCCGCCCTGTCCCCAGCAGTCCAGTGAGGCCCCGGTACCCACCTTCTCCTGCCTGGTTTTGGCACGTTTCTGCAGCAAACTGGAGCCGCCCTCCCCAGCGCTGTCCTCGTCTTCACTGTCCTCCACAAATGCCCGGAAGCTGCCCACGAGAGAAAACAAGCCTCAGGACAGGCAGGCTGGCCCCTGTCTGCTGCCCCAACATTTATTTTGTAGAGCCGTGGTCTCACTATGTTGCCCAGGCTGGTCTTGAACTCCTGGGCTAAAGTGATCCTCCCTCCTCTGCCTCTCAAAGCCCTGGGATTACAGGCAAGAGCCACCTCACCCGGCCGGCTGCCCCAAAATTAATCCCATGTACTAAGCCCTGAGCTCTCCTTTCAACAAGCTCAGAGCAGTGCTGTGATGTTATTAACCCCGTTTAACTGATGAGGAAACTGAGGTACATAGAAAGTGACAGAGCTCAATTTGAACCCATGCCTATCCAACCCCTGAGCCTCAACTTTCCTCCATTGGGCCATTCCCACCCCCCCAGCCTCACCTTTCCTTGAGCTGTTTCTGTTCCTCCACATAACTTTGCGACGATGTCTCCTGCAGAGAGGGCCATAGGTCTCAGGCCAGCCCCGGGCCCCTCAGCCCCCCACCCCAGCCTCCACCCCGCCCACCTGGAGTCTATGATTGGAAGTCTCCCCGTCTGAGTTCTCCTCGTCGACATATTTGCTGTAAAGGAAAAGTGGGGTCTTCAGAATGTATCTTCCAGGGCCCACCTGTCCCCGTGCCCATGTGGAGCGGCTATTCCAAGCAACAGCTGGCGGGGGTCATCGGAGGGCTATGGAATCACTGAGGCCCCTGCTCTCAGGGGTACCTGCGATTCTGGTGAGTTTCCAGCCTTCATTTATTTATTTATTTTTTTTTAAATCTTTTCTTTTCCAATCATGGGTGACAGCATTTCTTTTTTGGAGCCAGAATCTTGCTCTATCCCTCAGGCTGGAGTACAGTGGCATGATCTCGGTTCACTGCAACCTCCACCTCCCAGATTCAAGCGATTCTCCTGCCTCAGCCTCCCCAAGTAGCTGGGACTACAGGCACCCGCCACCACATCTGGCTGATTTTTATATTTTTAGTAGAGACAGGCTTTTGCCATGTTGGCCAGGCTGGTCTCAAACTCCTGACCTCAGGTGATCTGCCCGCCTCAGCCTCCCAAGGTGCTGGTATTACAGGCATAAGCCACCATGCCCCGCCTTTTTTCTTTTTGAGACAGGGTCTTATTCTGTTGCCCAGGCTGGAGTGTAGTGGCCTGATCATAGCTCACTGCAGCCTCCATCTCCTGGGCTCAATCCTCCCGCCTCAGCCTCCTGAGTAGCTGGGACTCCAGGTACACATCATCACGCCCAGCTAATTTTTAATTTTTTTGTAGAGGCGGGGTATGTTGCCCAGGCTGATCTCAAACTTCTGTCCTCAAGCGATCCTATTGCCTCAGCCTACCAGAGTGCTAGGATTATGGGCATGAACCACCACGCCCAGCCCAAGTTGCCAGCTTTTTTCCTCCCTGCCCCTAAGACCCCCATAGACCTGACAGGACTGGGAACCAGCGGGTGGGGATGTAGGCCTTCTCCATACCCTGCCTTCTCCAAGATAACCTTCCTCTCGTAGTCCTTCAGGTACATGGGCCGCACTTTCTTCTGCTTCTCCGAGGCTGCTGGCTCCTCCTCGCTGTCCGACGACGATGCTGTTAACCCACCAAAAGACACCTGCCATCACCCACAACCACCTTCTTTCCCCTGGCAGAGAATCCCACAGGACAGGGCCAGGATTAGACAAAGGATTCAAATCCCGAATCCACCAATTCCCGGCTAAGAGTATTGTGCTTCTCACCATCTGGTGGGGTTGGGGTCATTCAGTCTGCAATTCCTGCTTTGATTCTGCCCACATCGGCCTCCCAAAGTGCTGGGATTACAGGCGTAAGCCACCGCACCCAGCCATTATTATTTTTTGAGACAGAGTCTCGCTCTGTTGCCCAGTGCATGACGTGATGTCGGCTCACTGCAACCTCTGCCTCCCAGGTTCAAGCTATTCCCCTGCCTCAGCCTCCTGAGTAGCTGGGATTACAGGTGTGCACCACCACGCCCAGCTACTTTTTGTATTTTTAGTAGAGATGGGGTTTCACCATGTTGGCCAGGCTGGTCTCGAATTCCTGACCTCAAGTGATCCTCCTGCCTCAACCTCCCAAAGTGCTAGGATTACAGGCATGAGCCACCATGCCCAGCCTGATTAATTATTATAATTAATTTTTTTTGAGAGTTGGGGTCTTACTCTTGCTCAAGCTGGAGTGCAGTGTCAATATCCTAGCCCACTGCTCACTGCAGCCTCAAACTCATGGGCTTAAGCAATCCTCCCACTTCAGCCTCCCGAACACCTGGGACGATAGGCACACACCAGCATGCTCAGCTGAGTTCTGAATCTTTTGTAGAGATGGGGTCTTGCCGCCAGGTGCAGTGGCTCATGCCTGTAATCCTAGCACTTTGAGAGGCCAAGGCGGGTGGATTACCTGAGGTCAGGAGTTCAAGACCAGCCTGGCTAACATGGTGAAACCCTATTTCTACTAAAAATACAAAAAAGTAGCTGGGCATGGTGGCATGCACCCATAATCCCAGCTACTCAGGAGGCTGAGGCAAGAGAATCGCTTGAACCCGGGAGGCAGAAGTTGCAGTGAGCCCAGATCGTGCCATTGCACTCCAGCTTGGGCAACAAGAGTGAAACTCCGTTTCAAAAAAATAAAAAAAGAGATGGGGTCTCGCTATGTCACCCAAACTGGTCTCAAATTCCTGGCCTCAACTGACCCTCCCACCTCAGCCTCCCAAAGTGCCGGGATTAGATGCTTGAACCACCTGCCCAGCCTGGTGGAGTTGAAATCATCCAGTCAGCAATTCCCAAATTGAACAGTGCCAAGGACACAGTCATTAACCCCACCACCAGGTAATAACCTAGGCTCTGCTAAGGACTTGTGACTTGTGAAGCAATTCATTCAACAGTCAAAACAGATGAATTGTGTAAACTGGGTAAGTCCCAATCTATCCTTAAAACAGCCCTGAGGGGCGATGCTACCGTTAGATACACTTTACAGACAGGAAAGGAGGCTCAGAGAAGTCAAGTCACTTCTCTGAATCCATTCAGGAAAGGACCCCGGATTCTGTTCCTGAGGAAGGAGAGGCTTAGACAGGAGTGGCCCCGGACCTGTTCTGTTATAGAAGGTGGCATCTTTCTGATAAATGCGGGGGTCCTTCTTCTTCAACAAGGAGAGCGTTTTGTAAAAGTCCCGCTCCTGCTGGGGGTCAAATTCCTAGGACGGGAAAAGGGTTGGGGATAGGTTTCAGAAGGGGGATAATAAGAGCCCTGGCACCAGCAAGTGAGCTCAGCAGTAGGGATTAGGATGGAGGGAGCGGGGATCTGGCTGGGGAAGAGAGGCAAGCGGTCAAACAGCAGGAGAGAGAGGGGCCCTCTTGGGGTGGGCTGGGGCAGGCTACAGGTAGATACAGGATATGGGTAGAGGAAGGTGAGGGGCAAGGAGAAGGTAATTCCTGGGGAAGACAAGGACTTGACAAGGGGCAGGAGGGCCGAGGGCACAAGGGAGACAGTGGGGAGGGGCTGGGCCAGGCCGTACAGTGGGGCCAAGATCAGGGCTGATGTGAGAAGTTGGGCGCCCCACGTGGCGCAAGGAGTACACTAAAAAATGGCTAGACTCGAGGATGAAAGGGGAAAGGGGGGTTCCTAGGGGACAGAGTCGCCCCACACATCAGAGTGGGCAGGTGGATGTTAGCAGGGGGGAGAAAATAAGGGGGATTTGGCTCTCCTAGGGAGAGGGAGGGCGCTGTCTGTCCCTCATGGGATGGGGAACGGGGGATGGACGCTCCCGCAGGGCGCTCTGGGGTCGGGGGTTGCCCCCCTGTCTACATCGGGGTCGGAGTGCAGTGGGGGGACTTGGACGCCTCCGCACGTCCAGGACGGGGCGCGGACGCGCACCACGCGCTCGTCGCTGGAGTCCGACTCAGAGCTGGAGTCGCTGCCGCTGTCCCGGTCCCCGTAGCGATCCTTCACTGCGGGACACAGACGGGATGCCCCCCAGGTCAGCCGGCTGGACCAGCTCGACTCCCCACTTCCCAACCGCCCATCGCAAGCAGGCTCCCGCGCGCATGCGCCCCGGACTCACGCCGCTGCAGTTCCTCGCGCTCCCGGTAGCGGTTGTACCGCGCGGCAAACGCCGTGTTCACCCGCAGCTGCGACGACCCGCGCGGTTCCGGCATGGCGGCTCTGTGGCCCATTGCGCACGCGCATTGAGGACGCCCTGGACGGGGCGGGGCCGCCCTCGGTCCCACCCGCATCCACTTTCAAAAGAGGCGGACCGCGCCTAACCCCGCCCCTGGCTTTTCCGGGATCCCCTTCGCCTCATGACCGCAGTCTCCGCCCACCGCTACGCCCCTGCAGGGAAGGCCGCGGCCACCGCCCACCCGCCCCACCCCCGGTGCTCCGGGCACCCAGCTGACATCTGGGGGCCCTTTCTCCACTCGCGGTTTCCTGCTTCCCTTCCGTTCCGACAGCGAAAACCGCTGCCCCACCCAGCTCACTCACCCTGGCGCCCTGGGAATTACTATTCTCTCCCCTCACCCACCGCATCCACGATCCCCGACCCCCGTCTTCATCCCCATCAACATCCGGGATGTGTAACTCTCCATCCCAGACTCAAAAATCTGAAGCCACCCGCGCTGTGATCATGCACAAGTCTTAATTTAATGGGTAAAAACATTAAATTATTACAACATTTTTTTCCAATAAAGCATAATAAATAGAATCCATTTCTTTTAAAACGCTGTACAAGAGACTGGAAAACAAGCTTCCAACAGAATATGAATAACTCATTCTACCTTCTTACTGATTTGGGACTCTCCCCCCACCCCCTATGCCCGAAGCAACGTGCACACTTCAGGTCTCTGAGCACAGCCAGCCAAGGTCACCAGGTTCTAGGCTCCCTGGAGGTGATGACTTCACTCTTAAACGCTCTGCCCTTGGGTCTTGTCTGAGGCCCCTGCAACCTGAGGCGCAGAAAAAACTGAACCGTTTAGGTGGCTGTGGCCTGCAGGAGCCCTTCTCTGTCCAACACACCAAAAGGAGTGAGAAAAACAAATGAGAAACGTCCCCCAAATACCCACACACCCCGAAAACCAACACCTATAAGCCACAAACTGGTGCTCCTCCCCTACTGCGGCAGCGGGCAGGAGAAACAAGAAGAGAAAGTGTTTCTTCCCCTCTCTTCTGATACAAAACCCCACGGGGTTCTCTTCCTGGATAGAGTGACCCCAGATCACAGCGGGGCCACCATGTGCCCCTGCAGGATGTCCACGAGGTCCTGAGCCCCTCTCTGCAGTGCCAGTTCCAGGGGTGTGAGACCCCTGGCGTCCCTGCGATGGAGATCAGATTCAGCCGCCAGAAAGCTGACCACAGCAGTGTGACCCTCTTGCACCGCCAGATGGATGGGAAGTGCCCCGGTGCCATCAGGCGCGTTGACATCAGCCCCGTGCTCCACTAGGACCTTCAGGGTGTCCAGGAATCCAGTGCGGGCTGCGTCATGGACTGGACTGGTGCCGGAGGTGTCCTGGACATTGGGGCTGGCACCTTGCTTCAGCAACTCCAGGGCGATGGCGGTGCTGCCAAACATCATGACCTGTGTGAGGGACAGAGGATCAGGAGGTCCTCAAGGGAGGGGGTTCCAAAAAAGGGGTTACTGGAGAGAGAAGGGTCATCCAGAAAGAGGCATCTCCCCGGAACAGGAAATGCCTGAGGAGGGGTCCTCTAGTAAACGGAGAAGCTGCATAAGCCCCCAGGGGACTGTTTGAGATGCAGAGAAAAAGTTCTCCTGGAAATAGGGACCCCCCCAAAAGCTGGTCACTCCCTTAAGAATGAGACCCCTCAACCCAGAGAACAGCCCCCATGGAAACTTTCAAGGAACCTAAGACTCTCCCGCAAGGGACCAAAGACGCCCCCAGATATGGGCAATCACCAGGAAATATAAAATCCCCTCCAGGAAATGGGCCCCCAGAGATGGAGAACTACCCCCAAAGAATTGATAGTCCTCATAAGGGAAAAGAGATGTCAAAGGAAAGCGAACCCCACCCCCTTCTCCAGGAATTAGCCTCCTCCTGCATAATGGTGATGTCACCTCAGAGTACCTGAGAGCTCCCTTCAAGAAGCGAGATTCCAAAAGCAATAATAAGAGAAGAGAAAAGAGACTCCTCGGTAAACTCTCCCAGGGAATATAAGGATGTCTTGCGATCTGACACTGTTCCTCCACTGGGGCCCCCACACTATAGCTAGGATCCGCATAATCTTTAGGAATGAAGACCCCACCCCCAAGTAACCAGATATGTCTCAGAGAGCCCCCTACAAAATGAGGAACCCCTGGAGACAGGACCTCTCCTTCCAGAGATCGGATCTCCCATAGAAGCCCCAAGAAACGTGAGCCGTCCCCATGGAAACGGTATCCAAAGGAGCTGAACCCGCACCCACGGAATAAGAACCTCCCCAGGGAAAGTGAATCTTCCGCACTCAGAGAACCAGGAATCCTCCCAGAGAAGATGCTAAAAAGCTCTCCCCTCCCCCCACAACCTAGCCTCACCCACCACCCACCTTCCAAAGGGGACCGTGGGGGAACAATGAAAGCCTAGAGAAGAAGGACCGGTTTCCAGTGGGTCACCACCAGGGCCAGGAGACCAGAGGAGAGGGGCTCTGGGGTCTCGATCCTCACCCCGCCGAGCCAACCCGCCCCCGACCTGGGCCGGCCCGGCCTCACCTGCAGCGCCGTCTTGCCGAAGCGGTTGAG